ATGAAGTGCTTACCCTGTAACGACGAGATACGAGAGAGAGATTTCTTAAAGGGGGGTGGGGGATTTAACAGCCACCAAAAAACAACAAATCACAAAGGGCCTCGGGTACTGAGACGAACGATAATGGAAGATCGTCGAAGTCGTGAAAGTTGTGGAGACTCGAGGGTGTTAGTAATGGCAGTTGTCCTCCCCCTCCTCCCCCTTCCCCCCCTCCACCTCCAACCTCCCCCCCCCCCCCTGAAGGCGTAGTTATACTTACATCCCCGCTGGTCACACGCACACAGTACTTAAGAAACAACAGTATCCAGACTATGATGCTACGATCTTTAAAAAAAATAAGGCCTCGGAACACCACCTTGCTTTACCATGAACTGTAAGCAATGCATAAAGTGTGTAAATAGTGTATAAAGCCGTCGAAGTTTTGCAGAAAATGTCTTTGGTTGCGATAATGAAACACAAAAGCAGCAAGATGGTTTTGTCCCGCCACTTTTTCAGCCTTTCGCCGATTCATTTTCCAGTCTTGTTCTCTGCATGATCTATTCTGCTGGAAAGTGTTTGAAAAAGACCCGGCGGGGTTGGTTCTTTTATTATTTTTTTATTATTAGGATTATTATTATTATTTTTTTTTTGGGGGGGGGGGAGGGTTACTTTCCAGGAAGGGAGGAAGTTGAATGGGTAGGAATGGCCGAGCTCGGTTTATTGTCTCTTGTTCTGCTCCCTTCATCATCATCTTTTCTTCCTCCTCCTCCTCCTCCTCCTCCTCCTCCTCCTCCTCCTCCTCCTCCTCCTCCTCCTCCTCCTCCTCCTCCTCCTCCTCCTCCTCCTCCTTTTCCTTCTCCGCCCTCCCCCTTCTCTTTCTCCTCCTCCTCTTCCATTTACTTCACAATTCTCTGTAGGATCCCTTCATATATTATTATTTATTATTATTATTATTTTTTTTTTTATTAATGTAAATGTTGATATTAATGTTGATATTAACATTGAAGTTGTTATTGTTTTTTATTGTTATTATTATTATCATCATCATTTTCATCATCATTCTCATTATCATTGTTACTATTTGTACTATTATCATCCTTATCATTATCGTAACGTTCGGGGCAAGACAGACGCGCAGGTATTCGAAGCAGAGTCGCCGGCGGTTGCCAAGTACATTCCTTTGTCGATTTATGAGGCTGATAAATGTGAATTTTGGTATCTGACCTTTTCATAAAATCTAATTTTTATTGTATCTTCATTTGTTTGTTTGGTCCATTTTATTGTATTTCTTTTTTATCCATTTTTATTGTATTCCCTTTATGTAATTGATATATTTATCTATCTATTTGTTTATTTGTTTGTTTATTTTTTGTTTTATGGTCAAGAAGGGCTTATTGCGTTCATTAACCATGCCAGTTTGGATTTAATTGTTGCATTTACCGAACCATATCGTTACGTTAACGGCGAGCCAAAGCATTCCCATTGCTTTAACTAATTTGCAAGATGCATGGAATCATAATAACCATCTTATAGTTATCTCTAGTACGGATATTTTGTTATTAATTACGCCCGGCATTTGATAACACGCCTTCCCATATCCACCCCCCCACGTAAAAATGCTGCGGCGCTAGTTTCATAATGTAATTAACTCGTAATGTAATTAACTGCCAGAAACCCACGACGGGGGTTGTGATGCTAATGATGATGATGTAAATATTAATTATGAGGCATATGATGATGATGATGATGATAATGATAATGTAAATGGTGTAAATTGTGATGCAAACGATGATGCTAATGATGATGAAAATGGCGATGCCAATTATGATGCTAATGAGGTTACAAATGATGATGCTAATGACGATGCTAATGATGATTGCTCTCCATGTGGACGCGGGAATGCTGAGGCGCTGACGTGAGGAAGATGAAGGCGGCGGCTCAGCAGACTCACGCGCGGACCACACAGGGCGCCGCGTCTTTCTGGGTACTAGGGGGGGGGGGGGGAAAGGGGGATGGGTGAGGAGGGAAGGGGTGGGAGGGGGGATAGGTGAGAGGGGAGGAAGGGGGATGGGAGGAGGGGTAGGGAAGGGGAGGGAATGGAGAGGGAGGTGGGGGAGGAGGGGGGCGTTTCGGGATTCGTTGGGCGTCAGGGATTCGTTCGTTTTTCGTGGAAGGTGGTTGTTGATTATCTTTTTTCTTTTGAATTTGTGTTTTTTTTTCCTTTTTTTGTTTTTATTTTGTTTGTTTTTTTCTTCTGTCTTTCCACTTATCGTTCTCACTTCTCTGCTTCTCCTTTTCCTGTTCTCAAACCTTTTTGTGCTAATATTCCCCCTCCTTTTCGTTGTCCTCGCTCTCCTCCTCCTCCTCCTCCTCCTCTTTTTTCCCCATCTTCCTTCTTTTATCTCATAATCATTATCTTCCATCTCCTCCTCTTCCTCTTCTAAAAAAAACAGGCTACTTGTACAAATTCTTTTCCCTTTTACTCTGTGCCGCCCACCTGATACTCTACCTGATATCATTGTTAACGTCCAGTGGCAGTGTTCACGACGCCAGATAATATCCAATCCTGGCACTGGTACTTTAGTAAGCCTTAATAAACGTTTATAAGACCCCAGGAAGACCCCAAGAACACTCTTAAGAAGACACCCCCCAAAAAAAAAAACTTAATAGAACCCCCACTAACTAGCGATAAGACTGGCTTCGAAACGACCCCACAATACCACGTAGACAAAATCTATTAGCAGAACAATTGCGCATGAGGGAGACTGGCGGACGTAATGATGTTATCCCCGGCTGTCGGGTCATGTGCTGTGCTGAGGGGCGTGGGGGTGGGGGGAAGGAGAGAGGGAGAGAGGGAGAGAGGGAGAGAGGGAGAGGGAGAAGGAGAGAGGGAGAGGGAGAGAGAGATGAGGGTCGGAGGGGGGTGAGGGGCTGAGGGGAAGAGGGGTATGGGAAGAGAGATCGTAGGGGTGAAGGGAAAGGGAGGGAAGGGGTAGGGGTAGAGAGGAAATACGAAGTTGAGAAAAGGGGAGAGGTAAGGAGAGAGGGATAAGAGAAAGGGAAGTAGAAAGTAGGTAGAATACGAATTTGTTATTGAGAGTCGTCCCTTCGGCCACGAATGTTGCAAGAAGTTGTTTTGAAAGAGATGCGTCTATTTATTTATCTGTTAGTCGGGCGTGCAACAACAGAATGAACGTGATGATTTCGTTTTCAAGAATAGCATGCTTGTGGTTTATAAGTCGAGGGCGCAAGAGAGGTGGGATGCTGGTCGCTTGACTGATCACAAGATAATGAACTCACCTCGCGCCTTCTTCCTGTCCCTTCTCCCGTCCTCACTCCACTCCTCCATCTCTTTCTACTTCCCTCCTGCACCCTGCCCCTCTTCCCTCCTCCTCTTCTCTTCTCCTCTCCCTCCTATCACCCTCACTCTCCTTCTCCACTCTTTTCTACTTCCCTCCTCTACCTTTCCTCACTTTCCTCCACCTCCTCCACAATACCCATATGGACTTGATATATGCTACACCATCTTCGAGATCACGATTACCCGATTTTATTCCACACATGGGGAACCACAGCGTCCATATGTGAAGGAAGGTTGAAGACGTGATGGTACGGGCGTTAGTGTGTGTGTGTGTCTGTCTGTCTGTCTGTCTGTCTGTCTGTCTGTCTGTCTGTCTGTGAGAGAGAGAGGATGAATCAACAGCGCCCATCTCGCTACCTCCTCACGCTGATATTTCTACAAGTTCCTCAAGGTCATGGTTATGAAGCTCACTTTTCACTGGCCCGTGAAGATCACTCAGATTTTTTTTCTCTGAACTTCTGAGTATGTAGACTTTTTCTTTGTTAATGTAAGCTGAACACACGGAATATCATTATTATTACAATTTTTTCTGAGTTTTTTTTTTTAAATTTCTGTACACTTTTTTCTCTGAACTGAATGTTTAGACGAGATAGACGATATTCCACGAATTGTATTTTGTTTAAGGTGTTGGTAATTAGTCTCTATAAAACGAGGCAAAGAAATAAGGAAAATAAATCTTTGCTTAGAACTTCTTATTAACAAGAAATTGTTTGGTGATTATATAAAGTCAGGAAAAAAGGGAATATAATCCTTTACTTAGAACTTAAAGCACCTTAAAGTTCGGTGCTTACGAGCAAGGTCTCTGTAAGTACTTACATATTGCGTATGTAGACCTATATTTACCTCCCATTCCTGTGGGATGTAAAGGGGATGTCCCGGCAAAATCATCCCGACATGTTGGTTTACACACTTACTTATTTAGTTGTTATTTTTAGCAAGATTTCGTTGTCATAACATACAGTCTTCCAGGAGATGATGTGCCTCCAGCATCTGCGGAGGTCAAGGTTATG